GTATTGCGGCGTCTGAAAGATATCGGCCTGGCTACTCTCCAAGACTGATAAAGGTCAGTAATTGTGAACTATCTTGAAAGACTGTGGGAGAGGAATTCACCATAAATTAAATAAAAGGGGTTTATCGGGACAAGGACTCGTGGTGCTTGGGAAGCCTAGATCAGAACACAACTGCAGTGATTTTGCTTAACAACAAAAACATTGGGCTCAATTTTGGTCATACGTCGAGGGCTACCTGTGCTAGGAAACCAAGAGGCTCGGTTGTCCACTGGGAAAAGAAATTGCGAGACTAGTTTTGATCTAGCAGGCTACCACTTATAGTTCAGTTATACTCTCTCCCCATAATTTTTCAATTTATTAAACATATGAAGAACAGTTGCAGGAACTGGGTATGTCTAGTTTAATGAAAAGAAGGACTAGGGGAGATACAGCAGTCTTCCAATACCTCAGAGGATGCCACAAAGAAGAGGGAGTCAAACTATTCTCCAAGGCACCTGAGGGCAGAACAAGAAGCAATGGGTGGAAACTAATCAAGAAGAGAAGAAACTTAGAACTGAGAAGAAATTTCCTGACAGTTAGAACAATTCATCAGTGGAACAGAAGTTGCCTCCAGAAGTTGTGAATGCCCCAACATTGCAAATCTTTAAGAAGATGTTGGATAGCCATTTGTCTGAAACGGTATAGGGTTTCCTGCCTAGGCGAGGGGTTGGACTAGAAGACCTCCAAGGTCCCTTCCAACTCTGCTATTGTATTGTATAGATTTCCCAGCTACGAACAGTCCAAGAAAAAAAAAACATGTGAATAACAATCCTAGATACATTATTCATGGGCCTCCCAAAAACCAGTGAGACCATTAACCATGTGCATCTCCAGATGATATCAAGAATATAGCCACCTAGTTCCGTGATGGGGAACCCATGGCACATGTGGCAAAGGTGGCACGCAGATCTCTCTTTGTGGGTATGTGCACTGTTGCCAGCTGCTATTCTGGTTTCCGGCATACATGCTGGTCTTCATGGGTGCTGGGGTACCAGAAAATGGCCAGAAACAGCCTGGAAAACGGCCAAAAAAACCAGGCCATTTTTCGGGATGCTTTTCAGCCAATTTTGGGGCATTTCTCCGGCTGAAAACGGCCCAGAAAACAGCCTGGAAGATGGCCCAAAAAACACCCAAAATCTGGCTGTTTTCCAGGCCATTTTCTGGGCTGTTTTCTTGGCTATTTCCTGGCCGTAAATGGCCTGAAAAACAGCCTGGAAAAGCCAAAAAACAAGCATGCGTGGGCCGGCCAGCTGGTCTTCAGTTTTCCGGTGTTCCGGCATGCACACATGCACCCAAATACACGCATGTTCTGGTTTGGGCACTCGGTGCTGAAAAGGTTCATCCCCACTGACCTAGTTCAATCATTAAGGCTTAAACCAGAGATTAAAACTGAGCCATGCTAGGGTTTAACTGATGATGCTGATAAGAGCTGATCCCTAGAAACTGCTTTACAGCATCTGCAATTCTCCTATCTTTCACGACCCAAGAGATAGACATCTCCACCTATATGGGGGCCAATGTTCCACCCTACTTACTGCTCCTTATCAATCGGCTGATGTCCATCCCACGTTCAGTTTTGACACTTAAAGCTTGATGTCCTTAACTAACAACCTGTGATTGCCTCTTGCGACCTTCCGATAAAGCAAAGTCAGTGGGGAAGCAAGATTTACTTAACAATTGTGTTACTAACTCACTCACTCACCACTTGTGGCCAGAAAGGACGTGAAATGAGGGGGGGGGGGAATTCACTTAACAACAATAGCAATAGCAATAGCAATAGCAGTAGACTTATATACCGCTTCATAGGCCTTTCAGGCCTCTCTAAGCGGTTTACAGAGAGTCAGCA